ATAGCTGTGATCTGTCAGCCTCTTGTTGCCCAATTAGGGGACCATCAGACCTCCGGGATTTTAACCCTCCACTGGATAACAGAGGAGATAATGGGGGGGGGGGGGGGTCATTTTGGGAAACTAATCTGTGTGTCCAGCTTCCGGTACCTGACACAACACTGGAGCAATAGTTTTGTTCCAGAGAAGCTTCTGCATAAACTAGCGTTGTATGACATGCCATGACGTTACCCTTCTTTTGCAGGACCAGGGACAAATGGCCCTTTAGTAAGCCGTGTGTCAGAAGCTGGGCTGCTGATAGCTTGGGGAGTGTGTGTGTGTGTGTGTGTGTGTGCGCGCGTCTACGATGGTGTGTCTCCGCTCTCAGCATGGTCTCCGCTCTTGGTGGGGCTTACCATGACCCAAACTGACCTTCTGCTCGCTCTCGCCGGCTCTGCCGGGTCACACTCTCACTGGCCTCATCGATTTCCCCTCAGTGAAGAAGTCCTTAGTCCCTCCTGCGCCCCTCGCCGCCCTCCTGCCCTGCTCCCGACATGGCAGCCATCAGAGACGTCCAATTGTGCTGGGCTGCGATCGATGGAGCCGCCGTCCGAGGGGCCTCGACTTTAAGCGGCTCTCCCCAGGATGACTGACAGCTACAAAGCTCCCGTCCTGACAGCCACTTGTCAATACAAATTTCCACTATTGATAAGCAATTAAACGCAGAGAATGAGAGGGACGTGGGGGGTGTCCCTCACTGACCGTCTTCCGTTTACACATCTGTTAAACAGGCACTATAAGCTAAAATTCCACTTTGAAGAGAGGCTCTCTTTCATTCTGCCAACAAGGCCGAGACACAAAAGATTCTCTAAGCTTGTCATTCAAAGTTTAATACCTATGCTTTTAAAATGTAATTCCTGAAATTGCATAATTTTAAACATCTTCGTGACAGTAATACTGCAGTTTTTAGGGTAACGAAAATATTTCATAGCCCTGTGGCACAGAATCCTCTGGTGGATCGCAACACCTTACTCTCAACTTGAAACTTGCCTTTATGAAAAAAGAAAAAGTAACTAGATACGTTGTATCTTTTTGTGTATGGCAGCTGTGTTCAGACAGTTACATGTGTTTTTGCACATGATTCTTTGCATTCACTGAACCTTTTGACTAATTTGGACATCATAATTATAGACTGGAGAGTCTAAAGATGAAACCTCAACTTCATCTCAACTTCGCCCAAGTACAATCAAATAACTGGTGATTTTATTGTCCTCGGTGTTAAACATTCCCCTCACTGGCCAGCAGAGTCTGGATTCAGTTCTCACCTGTATCCCAGCATTTGTCTGGCGATCTGTTTGAAATGGCATAACTTGAGTCATTCTCACCGCTAAGGGACGGGCCACGCGACCCAAGTCATCCGACGCGATGCGGCCCCAGTTACGCAGGATGGCTGCCGTGTGAGAGACGCTCGGGGGGGGGGGGCCCTAGGTGCCGCGGCCCCTCCACTCGCCGGGGACACGGGCCACGCCAAGTGCGATCGCTTTTCCTTGAGGGATGATGGTAGTTTTAAATGGATTTAAGAAAAGTAAAGAAACCTGTCTGCAGGGGCTTCTAACTGGGAAGGATCAGCAAAGACGTCCCTCGTCTCGAGGAGAACCGGAGTGATGCGGGTGCTGGGGGTGAGCTGGGGGGGTGGGGCAATGTGCCGGGGAAGGGGGGGTGCACAACTAGCCTCTTTGTGTGCTTCTAATCCCCACGCCAACACAGCTTTGGCCTGGTTTCATGATGAAAGTGCCATAGAATAACTTCTCTTTTTTTTAGCAGTAAATCTCCCTTAATCCTGAAGGCTGAGCGGACAAAGGCCCGCGGGTCCTAATCCTGCAGCCTTTAATGGGTTTCGGGCCTGCCTCTTCTAAATGACTTATTTTTATCGGACACTAATATAGCTTGACAGCCAAGAATGGGGGAAAAGAATCAGAAAGAAAACGAGGGGCGCTGGAGAGACGTCAGCAGAGCGCGTTCGTGGTTATGGATTCCGAAGCTGTCCGTGGCCGTCACACCTAGTGATTGCGGAGAGCGCGGACAGCTGCAGGAAGCGGCGCACGCGCGGCGATGATGCACGGCGGCCCTTTGTGAGCACGAACCCATGGATACATGCTAAACTGCTAACGGATCAGGTTCACTGGCTGGGGACAGGTGATAATCAGCCGAACGAGAGTCGGCCACAGCCAGGGTCGAATGTGACTCTATGTGTGATTCCATTGAGAAATTACAGGTTGGTGTCTTCAACCATCCATCCATCTTGTGACCGCTTATCCAGCTCAGGGTTGTGGTGGGTACCTGGAGTCTACCCCAGGTGGCAGAGGGCACAAGGCTGGGGCACAGTATGGGCAGGATGTGATGGATGGCAAAATATGAATTTGTGTAACTGATATTTAAATGCTACTGCTGCCGCAGCAAGAAATACCACTGCCTGGATTGTATGATGAATGCACAGGCAGCATAATACGGCACTTCTTGGCACAAAAGCCTTTGTGATGCCAAATGGATACACTCGGCTTTCCAAGGTGTAGGTACAATCAAATCATAGTCCAGAGGTTTCATAAAAGCGGCATGTGTTAATTAAGCTGGATGTAATGGGAGGGGCAAAACATATCGCAGTTTTAACATTGCACAGATGTCGAGGATGAGTGTTACTTACATGTGACGTCCGTGTTCCTTGAGAAATTACAGTATAAAAATAGTAACTATCAGAGCAGAGGAAACTGCTCTAGAGTTACAGCTCCACAGTTAGGGTTAAAAATCGCTTGACTGTAACTAACTGATTATCAAAACGCCACTGCTTGATTCAGGCTAATAAAACTTCAAAATAAAGAAAGATTACAATATACTTTCATTGAAAATGTATTGTTCCTGCAGCTGGAGACCGGGGCCATGGCATTTCAAGAAAACGGCTGTAGTTCTAGCATCCCTTGCTGTCTGTGACTCCCCCCCCCCCAGCGCTAGTGCTTGGCTGGTGATCTGGGTGCCTGTGTAGCCATCTGAAGGGAAAGAACGCCCCAGGATTCTGGGACACAACTGATACTCGTGGGAAACATAATCTACCACTGCATGCTCTGCTTTTCTGCCTTAAGCATCAGAACTGGGCAAAGGTAGGATTTACATTTCTAAACCTCACTCACGACCTAAAGCTAATTCCCATTTGCTGAAGATGATCTGGTGTGTGTGCCCGTTTAGATTTTTGGTCTGCCACTTCTTAAGAAATAATTAAAAGTTGCATTTTTTCTTACTTTATTAGCCAACTTTTAATTTTGTGGTATTGGTCAACAACAACAAGAAATGTTGTTTACTTAGAATTCTTAAGTGGACCTATGTTAATAATGTATATCCCAGACAGGAAGGTTGAGGAAGGGAAAAAATAAACAATTTGCTATCGTTGTTTTAGTTTTGATCTTAGAACATTTAGCAGGAAGAAAGTTTCTTATTTAGGGAGACTAAAGCCAGAGACCGGACTCGGTGGGCTGCATCCAGTTTGCATTTCATGGGCTGAGATTCTATGGGCAAAATACAGTGCCTGTTAGCAAAACAAACCGCCAAGCAACCCCCAGAGTAAAGACTTAGACAGAGGGAAAAGATCTGGGGGGATGGGGGGAGTATCAGAACAAGGGCCAATCAAAGACTGTTATTTTAATCTGCTAGGCCCCGAAGATTAACGGATCACATTGTTTTAATTGTTTTAATAGGAAGGAGAGGAACGCCCGTTTATTGAGGGGGAATCCTTGCCGCAAACCTACCAAGTTCAATAGTTTCAAAAACTCGAGCCCTTGGACCCCCAAGCCCCCATCCTCGGACTTTTTTTTAACCTCATCCCACCTAATCCAGGCTAATGCCTTTCTTTCTATTGGCTAATGGTTGAGGGAAACTGGAGTTAATGCTTCTTAAATAGTCGAGGGTGAGAATGTGCCATGAAGAACCTTAATCCTAACCCGACAAACGCAGTACGGAGAGAAGATACTGAGGCCGCAGCACTAATTCAGCTGCACTATCCGACCAACATCTGAAACAGCTGTTACATGCGCGCAGTATCCTAATCGCCGAAAACGTCCGTAAGTATCATGTATTTTATACCAAACTAAACTTAAAACAAAAAAAAAACAGCCTTCAGTACTTTTTCATACTTAAATATTGATCAATATAAAATTATGAAGATTATTGCGTTATGGCTACTGTACATATTATACCACAGTATTATTATTAAACAATACGAATCAAATTCAGGCATAAACGAATTAGTTTTGTACCATATACAGTACTTGGATATGCAGCCTTTTCAGATTTGTTAAATAGCCTATTTTATGAACGTCATCCATATTTGTCTGAGATTCTGCTAAGTAGTGTTATCAATGACCCCGAGTGGTGATTCATGGGCTAAATGCTATTTCACTTTAGATTAAAAAGTCAGCAATATTACAGGTCATTTTGTACAACTTAAAAGAATCCGCACTGTCGTGCGTCATTTTAAGATGACATAACGCTTGTTTTTCACAGATAGCGCATTCCGCAGCTGCCGATATGAATTCCATATATTTCTGTGGAAGATCGGGGACCAGCGGTGCCGGCGGCGCTTATCCGCAACACGGCGTCAGTTCCCTGGCTGTTATTTACGACCTGCACCGCCAGATGGCAGGACAGCACCGGATTACCTCCACGGGCAGCCCTTCGGGTCACACCATCTCAGTTGCCGAGAGATTAGCAGGTAAAATCTCATCGCCACCGAGTCAAAATGCGATAAATTAAAACAAAACGTTTGTGACAGAACTTATATAACATTTAAAATGCTAATGGCGTGACATGTTATACTTAATATAGGTTGCTATAGCAGCTGATAAACTGCAGTTGTAAAACATCGCTCAGTTGTAATAATGCGTTTGAGCTTCCTCATTTTACTAATGGGCTTTATTGCTGTATGGGTTTATGGACCTTGTAGAGCTGATCCTGGAAGCACGTTACGGGAATCAGCAGAAGCAGCGTCGCAGTCGCACGGCCTTCACTGTCTCGCAGCTGCAGGCTCTGGAGAAGGCCTTCCAGCAGACGCAGTACCCGGATGTGGGCATGAGAGAGAGGCTGGCCGTCTGCATAAACCTACCTGAGGCACGTATCCAGGTTAGTTTCAGCGACTTTGCCCAAAAATCAAGGGGGGCCGTGTCCTCTCTGACTCTCTAAAGGTGTAGCTTATGCCAATGTATCTAACATAATGACTACACGCTCACCTTTGTCACCTCGCCGATCCTGCCTCCTGGAGGCTAGGCGATTAGCTTCGACATCATATCCAAAGTTTCTAAAAGCTATTCGCTTGTACCTCAAGGTGTGGTTCAAAAACCGACGGGCCAAGTTCCGCAAAGGCCAGCGGTTTGGTCCTGCTCAGAGGGAGAGGTGTGCAGATGAGCCCCATCACACGCAGGAAGGAAGCGAAGAGGACAAGGCAGGAGACATGGACTCCAAGCTGTTGAGCAAAGCTTCTCCTTTCAGGGCCATCGGTGATGGGTCTGTCGAGCCTGTTTCTGTAGATCCTGGGACAGCCCACCCTTATGTAGGCCACCTCACCCCCACAGTGTCTCCCTTTGGTGGACGGGACTCTCACCCCCACATGCAGAATCATCATTCTTTGGGAGTATTTTCAGCTGGCCTGCATTTCACCCCTGGATTCTGGCCTCTGTACCAGCCGCAAAACAGCCCGGCGTTTGGCCTCGCTCCTATAGGTGGTGGCCGCAGCTTCACGTTTCACGCCGTGACTCCTGGCGCAGTCCCACCACGCTCACAGCTGGACTTGTAGCGCAGCCCCAACCAGCACATGGTAGCTGGCACTTGGGGGGGGGGGGGGGTTCACGTGTGCAGATGAAGAGGACGACAAGGAGAAGTGGAAATGGTGAAATCCTCCTGTAGCTTTCAAACAGCACAGGGAATGTTTTAGCAAATCCTGAAGTGTTAATTATATCCCGGCCCTACGTTAGATAAATGAGACCTTTGTGCTGCTGAATTACTGGCACTTTCACATGTACTGTTTACTTAGCAGTTGTTCTTATATCAATAACACAGCTCTGAATGAAAGCTCTCTGAGCTCGGTCTGTTTTCAGGCTATAATAGCTGCCCTATCTAGGCGTTGCCCATGTCATGGTGTCAGTCGATAATGCAAAACAGAGGATGCCGAATACTTAAGTGGGACTGATGCAGAGGTGAGTGACCAACAGACTTGGTATGAACTCTTTATGACAGCATAGATACCTAGTCTAGTACTAGTACTAGTACCTTATTCATCTATAACATCTGTGCACCAGAAGCCACGATATCAAATTTCTTTACTTAATAAAATGTTTCTGTAGCATTCTGAAGCCTTAAATGACTGTTTCCTGTGTGTACATACTTACAAGAAGTGGGAGCTGCAGAAAACTTTGATTGGGGTGGCTGTCAGGGGGCAGTTATAGTTAGAGGGCTGGCTGCAAGGCACTCTGTCTCTTCTATGGTTCTGCTTAGAAAATAAAAAAATCCATATTCACTGGACATCCCTCTAAGAATTTTCCATCAAGAAGTACAAGCGTTTCTGAAAAAGATGGATTTTTTTCTGATTTTGGAACAACGTGCGCCTCCATTTTCATCAGATTGTTATCAAAGGAGGGATATGGGTACCCTGGCAGATTCAGAGAGCTCAGCACTTGACAGGGGGCCTTGAATATGTAAAATAAAACACACAAAAACTACTGAGAATATTTACATACTGTCTTTATTGTGGCCAAAGTGGATTTTAAGTTTAACTGATTTGAAAAATCTTGTTCTTTGTTTTGGTTTTTGTTTTGTCATGGTTATGCTAGGAAAGATCAGATGATTAAAAAGGAAATCATCTGGAAGTTTTGCCAGATTACTTCCTCCAGACTGGCTAGTAAAACAATGGAAGAAAAACAGACAAAACTCGCAAATTAATGTGATTTCCCTAGTTTTCCCATTGCTGTGAATACTTAGTTCAGAAACTCCACTGAACAATCTTAAACCCTTGAATAACATGTGCGTTACTTTTCACATTTTAATGTAATAAATAAAGGTTTAAAAGATTAAACTATCAGTATCCAATCAATAACAGAAATATGCAATGTAAATAGAATTTTTAAAATTGCGCACGTACTTTTCAGCAAAGTGCCGATTCATCTAAATTGCTTGCCCGATTGCAAGTCCTTAAAAATCAATTTGTAAATTGACCCTAGAGTGGATATACCTATTTGAGCCTTGTATTGTAGTAACTACATGTAATCTAAATTGTAAAAGCTCTATATGTCCAATTTTAATGACGCCTGAAGATGGTCTTAAAATCTATCCAGATGGATCCATCCCACCGTCTTGTACTGGATCACAGGGTGCTCACCTACGCACACATTTGTATGCAATGTCACTAAAAATCCGGGAGCCCACACCATGAGCAGAATCTATAATCGAAGTGGAAGAAACCCAGGTGTTCTGCAGAATTCACCTAGCTTTACGAAACATTTTACAGTTTACAAGTGACAAAGGACTCCTACTTTATAAAATCGTTAGTTAGGTTTTACTTTTTAATTATTTGTGGGAACCGGATACATTTTATTATACCATGCTTATAATTGCAGAAGTATCATTACACAAAATACCAAATTGTTAGGACATTTTGCGTAGGAATAATGGACTCTGTAACTTCTCAAATATACATAGACATGGTCAGATCTACGGCTTACACCATGTCTCGGACTGACAGTGCATGCGACCCAAATGCTTAAGCTGTGAATTAAATGAAAACTAATAATACCAGTCGTGTGCACAGTTGACTACCGGCGCATTATCTTATTAGTTTTCGATTTATTAAACAGCTCTGTCGTCTCCTACGATTAAACTAAGCAATATCATAATGTAGTTTAAAGTCTTTATTCGTTGTAGCTTTCGTTCATTTGACTACTCAGAATACTTGCATGGAAAAAGCTATTAAGCTCAGCCATATCGATCCTGAGTCGGGATGAACGAAGTAGCGTGCTGCATTCGCCTCTGACTACGGCAATAGCGTTGCAATCCGCCAAATCCGAATTCCTTGGGTATCGCTACGTCAGATACGCAAGGAAGCGCCGGTTATCCTGCTGGAAGCGTCGCGCTAACGCTGCGCACTACGTCCCCCAAAGGCGGTAAGGGCCCTTTTCCCTCCGACTACTTATTCTCAAAACCGGTTACGGCAGTTTTGCATCGTAACGACAGCGTTGGGATTTCAGTGGAACGTTGAGCGGTCGCCTGTGGACTGGCGGAGCTTAGAGACAACAGCAAGGCAGAGCGAGGGAGAGGGATATGCAATCGCGAAAAATTGCACCGAATACCGTCAAAATGGGGGGTTTCCTGCTGTAAACTTGCACTTGAACAGGTAGAGTTCCCCCCCTTTAACGGCCGGCGGCGCGCTCGACGGTGTTTGTCCGTTAGATCGACTGAAAGGCAAATTAAATGGATCTCGCTGTTAAGGATTAAGGAGTTGCCCAGTTGATATTACTGTTGTATTGAAAACAAACGCAGCTTAAGGAGGCACAGGCGGTCATTTTCGGTCGTTTTCCAAACGCAAACGGACGTGTGCGATATCTTTTGCAGCGCGGCTGGTAGTTAAATGACTGCCGGGCTGAGTGTGGTACATTTGCGATACTGTAGCCATGTCCTGTTTAAACTTGTTCCGGCAGCAGTGGCTCAATAGGCCACATAAGCTTCTCTAGTTGCCTGCTGGCTGGCTAGCTAGCTAACGAGCTAGCGGCTAAAATAGTTTTATATAAATGGTGGGGGGTCCAAAGCAAAGGTCCATCGACCGCAGGACGGGATACCGAGTAAGCCGCGTTTAGCAGGCTTGCAGTTTTATGCCAGACAGGGCTGGTAACGTCTGAAGTTTAGCAACCCGCTAGTTAGCTGTGTGCTTTTCGTTTTATTTACAGCGTATTTTATTTACGGGTTTCATCCAGGTTGGTTATGTGTGATGATCTAGTACCGATTAGCTGCTTTGAAATTAGGTGTGGGGGGGGTCATCTTGAAAATATGTTGCCTTCAGGAACTCGGATAACGCAACTTGCCGTAAATATAGAGATCTAAGGCTACCTATAACAATAAGTAGATTGTGGGCCACTTCCAAAAGTTACCCGGCTGCCAAGTGCTGAGGACGTTTCAGCTGTGTGCCTTTTTTTAGTAATGGGCGCAAGGTAATGTTTTTGAAATGATTCAGTGTATTGGAATAGGTAAATGACTTTGTTCGACTGTGTGTTAAAGATCATTGGACAACTTTTTAGAGAAATGTGACGAGTGTCTTAGTGTGGGAGTGGAAAATATTTTTTATTTAACGTTTATACAATATTTCTAACCCTCACTTAAAATGCAAAATGTTAATTGCTTTTATTGAGGTCAGTGGAACTGATATTTGTTCAGTCGTTTTTCATATATTATTAGCAATTGTTTTAGTCTTTCAGTTAATAAAATGAATTAAACTAAGAAAATTTGAGAATCATTATGTAGAATGTTACTGTCCAGTTCATGTGGTAAAAATGCCATGTACAAACAATTAACTGTGATCATATGCACCTGTATTCCCTAAAAGCTGCAGCATGTCTCTCTGTTCTTTATGCTCTTACTCTTTTCAGGCTTATAAATGGAATATTTCAAGCATTGGGTGGCATTTGTCAGAGTAATGTATCGTTACCATAGACTGCATTCAGTGACTTTGTCCTGGGGTCATTTGTATTATTACTAATGAGAGCAACATTAACCCACATGGAATCCTTCATGCAAACAATGAAATTTACATGGTGCATTTCGCGCTTGAGAGGGATTGATGATTCTCCACAGAGGTGCAGATTATTCAAGTCATGTTGATTAGAGAAGACCTGCACTAATATGGAAATAGCAATGAACGGGGGAGGCTGTGAATCGTTGGTTGTACACTGACACTGCTGTTGAAACACCACTCTTTCGGCAGTGGTTATAGTGCAGAGTGTGTATTAAGCTGGATGTAATTGCTTGTAAAGGTCAACTCAGTTTCCTTTAAATAGAGGTAATATCATGTATTTAATTACAATAATCAATTTGCCTTACCTAGCATTAACTCCACATGGCAAATGTGCATCTGTTTAATGCCTAATTTTAATTGAACAAAATATCAAGGTGTGTTAAAATTAATACAAGTTTACTAGACTCCTTTAAAGTGTGCAGTCAGCAACTGAAATGGGAAGAAATGAAAATGACTCTGTATATGTGTATTTCAAGCTGATATGGTTTGATGAATGAACAAATAGGTACTCAGTAGATAAAACATAGCTATAAATTAAGCTATTATAACTGCAGAATTAAGAAGCTGCTTATGTGACAGTTTTTTATTTTTTCAGCGTTTATTTAAAAACTTCTAATGTTCAGAGCTTATAAAAGCATATATGCTTTTTTCCTAAAATGATGATAAATTATTGCCTTTTCATGTTCTCCTAACTGGGTGTTTTTGTGCTCCATTTTTCTGCAGGTCATGCCCTTAATTTTTTTAGAGAGAAGCTCATCAGGGGTTACAGCTGTAATCCTTGAGAGCTGGAGAGTATCTTCATACTGTATCCCGTTTTATTTTTGGACGTATTATAGTCGTTTCGCTGTGTTTCAGTGTTAATGGAACTTTTATACATTAAGCTCTGCAAGTCTGTGTGTTTCAGAGTAGGATTCATTTTGATTGTTTTGTGTTTGTATACTTGTAATTATGCATGTGCTGGACTTGCAGATAGTTTTTATGTGTTTATGATTTTTTTTATCCATTTTTACACTAAAGTATACTGGGGAATTATAGATTTTGTACCTTTCTCAGACACTACAGCATAGTCATTCTTGTTCTGAAGTGGTTATCATGTTTCAGTCCACATTCTTAGCCCACAAGCTGTCTGTGGTCTCCCTTTCTAATCTCATATTCCTTTTGTGTTGGCTCAGTTTTTCTTCTGGCTTATTCAGAATTATTTTCTATTTTACAAAACTCATATTAATATATGACAGTATTTGTGCTGACACAAATTACTGCAAACGTAGGGATTTTTATGGCGCTTTTTGTTGCTACTGCGAGCCGCTTTCATTTGTATGGCCTTTTTTTAAAAATGTAAAACTCGTTCATTGCCAAATATTAATCTACTGTAAAATGCTCTTAGTTACCCATTTTCCTAGCTTTGTAAAACATGTAAATGGACATGGATTTATATAGAACTAGGCTTTAAAGCACCGTGAAAAGTGCTTCATATCAATGATTACTGATTGTTTCTTCTAATTATTTAAAATCATGTGATACTAGTGGCCCTGGTCTGTCCGATTGATGAAGTCTCTGCTGTCACTAGATCAGTCACCATGATAAATCCTTTTGGCGTATCTCTCGCCATGTATGGTTACCCCCTTCCCATTGTAATAGCCATTAACCAGCCGTAATGGCAAGGATCTCAGTGTGAGCATTTCAGATTCTGGTCAGTCTTATCGTGCCCATCCATCTTCCAACCTCTTAGCCTGGACAAGATTGTAGAGCCAGGAACCTTCATGTAAAGCATATTCAGCAAGGGAGGGCTGCACCCTGAGAGGGGTGTCAGGCCGTAAACACATTTGATGGGAAACTTAGTCATGCCAGTTTTATCTAAATGTCCATCTTTGTTCTGCTGAGGGGGGAGTGTAAGCAGGAAATCCTTGTGACATACACTGGTTAGGATTCGAATCCTCAGTGCTAAATGTTAGAGGCGACAAAGCTGCCCTCTTGAGCCACGGTCACCCTTAGCTGTGTCTGGTATTAGAAAGTTTACATCTGTGGAATAAATTTCTGAAGATGATTTAAATTCTGAAGTCTAATATTAGTAATTCATAATGTTTATATGTTTGCATATTTTCTATATTTACCTGTGTACCTGAAAGAGGAGGCCGTAGAATAATAAGTTAGAAACAAGAATAATTCAAAATAATGTAAAGCAAGAGTAGCATTGGGACATTGCATTTGGATTTTAAAGAAATATTTGATTGGAATTTGCGTGTTTTCAATATTGTTGTATGGTAATTCCAGTTGAGAGAGTCCTGCTGAAATGAAACTTTGAAAAGAAAGGTTGGTCTAAAGTGTGAATTGGAGAACTTGTGGAAGGATGAGCTTCTAGGTGCCAGTAACACATGAGGGTACACACACTCCCACTTCCAAAACCCTTAATAGCTTTGCCACCCTGAGGATTCCTGCACTGTATCGTTTTATCCAAGAATAGATCATCTCAGATCTCCTGCCAGGCTGATGTCACTACCAGGTTTTCCGAAGATGACAATATAGACGATAAAAGGTGGGAAGGTAGTTGAATTAAGGAAAATGTTTTGTTCACTTTAGACATTGTAATGATAAATGTACTTCATAAGGTACTTGTGTAACCCATCGGCTCAACGTTACTTTGATTGTCATCTTGTGTCACTTTTAAACCCGAACTACATGTAATAAGTCTTGTTCTGAAATACTGGGAAATACTTGAAGTTGACTCTTCAATGGCCAAATTTCACATGGTTACTAAGCTTCAGTCAGAGATGCGTTTACCAGTTTAAATGTGTTTTCTAGTAGTTTTCTGGGTCTGTACTCTGAAAGAATCAGGACAGTCAGGGAGATGGGATATGGAATATGGGGTAATCTCAGGGTTTAGCTAATCTCACTGTTCATCATAAACTAGATTTATCATTAAGCTTAATATCCATAAAATGCGGCCATGGTATTTAATTTTTTTTGAATGGTAATGAATGCACTCGTTCCTCCAGGTGCTCTGGCCCCCCCCCCCCCCCCCAGTCCAAAATCACGCTGAGGTTAATTAGGGTTGCCAAATTGCCTATAGGTGACTGGTGTGTGACTGTGCCCTGCTATGGGTTGGCGCCCCATCCTGGGTGGTTCTCTCACTTGCGCCTGTAGCCTCCAGGATAGGCTCTGGACCCCCCCCGCGACCCTGAACAGGACTAGCGGTTACAGAAGATGGATGGATGAAAGCACTCACATTTTATTGTTCCATATTGGTTTAATGTTTAATTTGGCCCATTCTAAGTGTAATGCAGGAAATGTCAGATGAAGCTCTAACAGCAAAATTCATATGCCAACCAAGTTTTTTGCCTTGCAGATTTGTGTGTTTGTTACTAAGACACAAGTGTGTCATGTCAAATGTCACCACTGTACGATGTGAAGAACCAGAGGTTCAGGATCTTTATGTAATCAGTTTATTGAGTGTATGTGTCATGTGTAGTGCAGAGTAGTGGAATGAAAATAAATATAGGCTTTTTTTTTGTGTTTTGTTAGCCCACTTTAAGTTTCGCAAGGTTAAGTTAAGCTGGAACACAGAACTTATTTTGTAGTTGTAGAAAAGGCACATTTGTACTGGTATTGATTTATTTATTTTTTCCTCCCCAAGAAAATAGTATCAGTATTAATTATACTCAGGTTAGGAGTGCTCATGTAGAAGACGGTGCTTGTTGAGCAGACTCCAGCATAATACAGACCTCTTGGTATGTCCTCTGAAAACAGAAACGGCCTTAGACTGTAGGAGTGTGCACCTCCACGTTTGCCCAGACCTTCCCTCTTGTATTTTTAGCGGCAGCACTCAAGAACACTGAGATAATGCTTCCTGGAATGGTGATTGCTGCAGTCCTGGCCTGCCTTTCTTTTCCTTGGTAGCTCTCAATCAAGCCCTTTTTTTCTGCTGTATTTTGGGCAGTGGTGGAGCAGAAGCAGACTGTGTTTTTTAAAGCTTATCTTCCCTTCTGCAAGGGGAATAAAGAATGAAAATAATGCGTCTTTTATAAGTGTTATTTGCTTTACATAACTAACCTGTTTTAAACCTGTTAGTTTTGCCTGGATAGTCAGCCTGAGTCACAACTACAAACAAAATGAATGAAACTTCCTTTTAAATTAAAGGTTAAGAGTAATTGTTTCCTTTGCAAAACTATTGAATTACTTTTCAAATAATACATTATTAATAATAAATGTGGTGTTTCTGCCTTGGTTGTGAAATTAGATATAATGAGGATTACCAAGAACTCATTTAGTGCATTTATATTGGTATATAAGGGGCATCTTTGGGGTAGTGCAGTGTCAGTTTAGATAGACTGAACTAAGGAGATTACAAAATGTTACTTGCTAATTCTCGAATTAGTCTGCTAAATTTCACCTAGAATTACACGTCAAATCTTATTACCTCCTGTTGAAAAGGCTGCTTAACAAGACAATGCTGAGTATCAATATGCTTTTTTACAGCTCATACTAAGTTTGCAGGCTGGTGCAATGAAGAATTATTGTAGTGTTGCTCATGAAGTATAAATTGAAGGATGAATTCAATCTAAAAGTTGTATGTATGGTAATACGTTTTGTGTATATGCTCAGAATCAGAGCGATGAACATGAAACGTTGTTAATTTCAGATAAATAGCTTGTTCAAACAAGTCTGTTAGGGATCCCAAAGCTTGGGCATTTCAGGTGTAATACCTGCTTCTGAAGCATGTGTAATAAGCGGTTTCTGTCATCTTCCTTCAGATGCTGGTGTCATACCTTGATTTTGGCTGCATTTCTCTTCTGGTAGCTCGTGTTTAAGTGCTGGCAACAGCCAGGACTGGGAGTGGACAGCAGCTGACCTGCAGACATCTTGTCCTGCTGCTGTTCTCCTGAGCTCTGCTAATGCTGACGTCGCTGCTTGCGCTGGGTTCGGCTGCATGGTGTCTTGTAGCAAAACTTGCTGTTTCGTCAGAATTTCTCCCGTCTCATTCAGTGTCCCACAGAGCAGTTGAGTGTATTTGCATGGCTTACACCTTCTCTGCATAGATTACTGTAAACGTGCTGAGTTCACCCCAGAACATAGGTTTTTAGTACCGCTGTATCAATACTGCAACTAATCGTTAAATAGTGATTGTTGGTCACATTTTTTCATTGATTTTGAACCTTTGCGTCACTTTTATTAATTTATTGCAGTATCTCTCATTGCTGGCAGGGTCAAATGTCTTGTTTTACAAACATTTTTTTCCAGCCTTTTCTAATTAAAAATATGCTGTTTATGTAGCCTAAGTGGATTGCAATGCGAAAATGCCGTGAAATATTTACCTCTGAAATGTTAAAAGTTCAAGGCTCAAGTTTCATTCTCCTGCCGTTGTAAAACCAGTAACATGCACTTCGTATGCAGAAAGAAATGCATAGTTTATGCAGCTGGGAGTTGAAGTGTGCAACAGCTTCATTCAGGATACGGACTCATACTGCCTTTTTAAAATTTTAGTAGGTCCAATATTGGAGTGTTAAGTGTATAATGGTAATATTGTGATACATTGTATCGTGATTAGTACTGTATCATGGGGAATTTGATGATATGCAGTCATAGTATAGATAGTATATTGGCTATCTATTACTTCAGCTAGCCTGCATGGTTTTAGAAATAAATAGTATGTTGATTCTAGTAGGCCTAAAGTTTCATCTTCCTTTGTGCCTTTGATTTGTTTTCTTGTCAGTCTCATGTAAAAATATCAGCATTAAAGCAATGTCCAATGAATAAGAACACTGAGGATTAGCATCAGTAAATTTAGCCTTGTCTATCAATCCTGTAGGGCAGGGGTTGGCAGTCTTATCCGCAACGGGCCAGCGTGCTCCTATTGAGGAACTGCTAGAGCTTCAGTAGGAGCTGTTTGAAATGTATACGGTATTTACTTATGCCAGGGATCTGCTTTATATATTCTATAGAATTATTAGCCTCATTTCCAACTCACAAAAGTTTTTCAGTTGTATATTTGTCTGTAGAAAAGCAGAATAGAGGGAACCTACTGAGACCAGGCCAGTCCACCTGGTACATTAACTGTCCATGAAAGAAAAAAAAAATATATATATAAAAATATGTATTTCTCTTATTTGTAAAGGATTGCCCCTGAGTATTTATCAGAAACTCTCGAAATGTCAGCCTGTTTGTTTTTGTTTGTTCAAGCAGTGAAATTTCTAACTCCTTATCATGGTCAGTAGTGGGGGCTACCTTAAAATGGCAAGAATTAAACTCTTGTGCACCACCTAGTATTGTATTAAATTAAAATCAGTTGACACACTCATTTCTATTTCTCATTTGCTGCAACTCTGTCAGACGTTTAGGTGTTTCCTGCATTTTTGGAGCTTTGCTGTTTGTCTAAAGCAGCTGATGTGTTTTGTAAAAGAGGAAAATCTTGGTATGTTGTCTTCTAAGATTGGGTGGAGTTGGTTTAGGACCAGTTGTGAGCCGTTCGGTCAGAATTAAATTTGAATGAATTTAATGAGGAGTAAATGGTTTATTTGTGAGTCCTTAGAACTTTAATATTCAAGTTAAATTGATTGGTCATAATGAGAGAATCTGATAGGTGATTGGAAGGTGCACAGGGGCGTGATCTGCAATCTTTACATGGCAGTCATGCCAAATGTCACAGAATCTCAGCACTCGCAGATTTTAGCTTGTCTGTGCAATGGATAAGTATTTAGTTGCCTTGTTTTTTTTTTTTGTGTAAATGAGTTTCCGTTTGGGTGCCTGATGGGGTAGTGAAGAGAAACATTCCAATGTACCTGAACTTTGTGGTGAAATAAAGGATTTATCATTCATCATCAAATGCTGAAGGATTGAAGAGTTCTGGCCCCATAGCGCCCCCGGCTGGGAACACACCTTAAAATTGGATTTTGTTTCTGATCTTCTGGTCAACTGCAGTTCCTCAGCAAGGACAGCCAAGTTGATAATTGCTGTTTTTTTTCTCGTTTTCTGTTTCTTCCAGATATTTGGGAATAACGGCGTCCTGGGACGGTCCCGCCCCTCGGCTGCACGTCGTCATCGTCTTTGTCACCTTTGTCACGGGCGCTGCCTTGTTACAATGAGAGATGTCCGTCAGAGACTGAGCAGCCGGACGCCATGATGGAAGAGGCAGCATGTCACCTGCCAACGCTGTGGATCCACTAGCTGGCAGCTTGGGCGTGTGAGTGTGTGTGAGTGTGTGTGTGTGTGTGCGTGTGTGAGTGCGTGGATGTATGTGGCTCTGTGGCTGCCCAGGGCATGCCTGCACACACACGGACGTAACCTGCCTGCTTCGGCGGGAGTCATGTTTCTCTGAACCGGAAACCTGGGAATTGCAGGAACGACGGGAGAAGGAAGAACCTCCTTTGTAGGAGGGAGGAGAATAGGAGGCGATTTGTCAAGAAGTTCCTGGTGCTCCTGCAACTGTCGCCGCAGGATTTTAAAACATTTTAAAACTACGACTACATGTGTATGCATGTCTGAGAGACCTCCTCTGTCTCATCCAGTACACCCTCCCTCTGCCTCAGTGGCCCGTTAGTTGATTCGGCAGCTCTGGTTTGCCTGGCAGCAGCGTAACCGTGGAGAAGCCTGGGTATCACAAGCTTATGGATTTTGATAAGAGAGGAGGGAAGGGAGAGGCAGAGGAAGGGAAGAGGATGTCCAAGACGGGCGGTGGCGGGAGCAGGACTGCGCATGGGGGCCGGAGTGCAGGGGCCAACTCTGGGGTGCTCATGGTCGGCCCCAACTTTCGTGTGGGGAAAAAGATCGGCTGCGGCAACTTTGGGGAGCTGCGCTTGGGGAAGAACCTCTACACCAACGAATACGTGGCCATCAAACTGGTAAGGCTAGCCGGAGGTCAGAGGTCACCGTGGCCCTGTCCCCTTGCACGTGGTCTCAAACTCCTTTTAGAACCAGGTTTCTGAGATTTCTTTGCCATGAAATATTTTTGGTATGTGCCAAGCAGGTTTTGACCTTGATTCTATGTGCCCCTTTTTCTGGGGTCTCTGGGTGCCTTAGTTGGTTACCCCCCCCCCCCCCCCACATATGTGTCCCCTCCTACGCAGAAACCCATAAGCACTTACTCCCATGAACACTCCATGTGAATCACACTCCATTCTCATTTGTTCCTGGTGGGAATGAAAGTTCTTCGCTGGTTTAAAAAAAAAAAAAATTGCACTGCTTCACTTTTTCAGGTCGGTGTTAAACAGGTAAGGATTCACCACACATGTTGGTCAGGGAAAGGGCGATCTCAGGTGTGTGTCTGCGCCGTATGAACAGTCGGGCCTGCGTTCAGTGTTTGAGTTGCAAGAGGGGGACGGTGGACGCCTGGCAGTTCAGGGAACAGTTCAGGGAACAGATGCTTCCCGGTTCGCTCTGTAGAATGTTTCTGCTGGGTGAGATGTGTGACATGGCGCTTCTGCAACGGCTAACTGTTCTTGTTGGTCAGAGTCTCCCTTCTCGAACCTTCAGTTTCTTGTTGGCAGTGGTGGGGCATCTTGGTACACTGCTGATTCTTGTTTCCTCTGAAATAACTGATTCAGCCTTGGAAATGCCTGTTAAGCGGATCTATGTTGCAAATATAAATTTGTACAGAGTTGAAGATCACAGGAGGGGAGTGTGGAATTAATTTTGTGTGTAAGTCTAAATGTGTTTACTGCTGATCTAAGATCACTACATGGGCTGTTATGTAATTGCAAATGACATTCAGTGGTTGAACAGATGTTGGAAGTTTTAGAAGTTTATTCTAATGTGTGCAATGATTTTCTTTGTGTGTCTATCCATTTCTGCCACGGTTTTATTTTGCAGCTAGTGGTACAGAATAATAAAGCTTGCAGGAAGTTGAATCAGTGTCCCTAATACAGCACCAGGCTTCCTCTGTGAGAAGCTAAGCATCGGTGTTGTCATGTGGTACCATACCATCGTCATTGAATCTGTCCATTTACACTACCGGTGAAAGTGTTAGAGCACATCAGTTTTTCTAGTTTTATGGAAATTAATTCAGGTTTAATATCAATGTTCAGTGAAACCAAAGCTTAGAACAAATAAGCAATAAGAAACCATTGTTTACAAAATTGTTTAAATCCCTCAAAGTAACCACCTTTTGGTGATAGCCAGATGCATGTGGTATTTTTTCTGGAAGGGAAATCATGTACCCAGAAAGTTCTCCCTGACTCCTGCAGAAGTTCCCGTGACTGTTGCACTTGTAGGTTACTTTGCCTTCACCTTCCTGTCCTGTTCATCCCAAACCAGCTGGGGACTGTGCTGGCCTCTCCATGTTTTTATGAATACTTTTCTCCTGATGTACTTGTGACACAGCCTGGAGCTTTGCAAGGCATTGTACTGGTTCATCCGGTATAATGATTTTAATTTCCTGTACGGTATCAATTTTTCATGTACCTTCATACCATAACATAGCTGAAAAAAAACAACTAACGCTTCAATAGGCTGCAAATTATGTAATAATGTTTGCTGCTAGGCGTGCTATGGATGGCTGTGCAGACTGTATTGTGCCGAGTCCCCTGTTATTTTCACCTACCCTTCTCACTAACAGTTATAACTTTATAATGCAACAATGCTCCATGTGACACTTGTTTTATTGTTGTTTTCAGAGTTCACAACTGTTTTCAAGGTGGTGTTTGTATTGTGTTTCAGCTGCAGGCTATTTGCATAACCAATAGATCAAGAAAGTGTTTCAAGTCCCACCCCAAAGTTCCAAAGTACCCCAGCTGGTTTGGCACTTTTAGTACTGGAACTTTTGGTACTGGTCCTCGAGCGGAAGTACCGTACTTGGTGCAGTGGGAAAAGCGCCCAAAATGCTATCGGTAAAGCAAAATCCCTGATATGAACAATTTGAGGGAAGGATGGAGCGGGAGATCGACAGGTGGATCGGTGCGGCATCAGCAGTGATGCGGGCGCTGCATCGGACTGTCATGGTGAAGAAGGAGCTGAGCCAAAAGGCGAAGCTCTCGGTTTACCAGTCGATCTACGTTCCTGCCCTCACCTATGGTCATGAGCTGTGGGTAGTTGCCGAAAGAACGAGATCGCGAGTACAAGCGTCCGAAATGGGTTTCCTCCACAGGGTAGCTGGGCTCTCCCTTAGAGAGAGGGTGAGGAGCTCGGTCATTCGGGAGGGACTCAGAGTAGAGCCGCTGCTCCTCCGCATCGAGAGGAGCCAGATGAGGTGGCTCGGGCATCTGCTTAGGATGCCTCCTGGACGCCTCCCTGGTGAGGTGTTCTGGGCATGTCCCACTGGGAGGAGGCCCCGGGGAAGACCCAGGACACGCTGGAGGGACTATGTCTCTCGGCTGGCCTGGGAACGCCTCGGGATTCCCCCAGAGGAGCTGCATGAAGTGGCCGGGGAGAGGGAAGTCTGGGTTTCCCTGCTGAGACTGCTGCCCCCGCGACCCGACCTCGGATTAGCGGGAGATGATGGATGGATGGATGGATGGATGAACAATTTATCGTGGTAATTATTAGTGGTGCAACGGATCAAAAAAACTCAGTTCGTATCGGATCATGGTTTTACGCCACGTTTCGGATCAATTTTCGGATCAGCAAAAAAGGAAAAAATTTAACTCCTCATTCATGGAAGTATTTTTTGACCATTAAAAAACATTCAACTCAACTCATTCCACGCAATTATATAAAAAATTAAGGTGCAATATAGGGCATGATAATTATTTCCTTTAATGTGGACACAATCAAAAACATGCAATCTAAGTTATCATTGCTTTTTACTTTGAACATGGAGGATGAAATAAAAACTAGCTTATGTCCACATCATCAAAAAAGAAAGAAAGCAAAGCAGACGTGAGCTTATAACAGCTATAAACACCCCAATAGCTTTTGTAATAGCTTTAGCCCGGTCGGATTGGGCAGCAAAGGGCTGCTTAAATGCCGCGGATATCAGTGGTTGTTGCGCAGCCCTTGTCTTAGCTCCTGTCACACCAAGGTGATGTCATTTCAAATGAGCGGCCGTGCCCGACGTGGTGCCAGTCTCATACGGCTTCCTCGTGCCACACTGTCGACAAACTGTGGTGGTTTTATCCACCACCCTTTTCTCCAATATATTTAACGGGGATGCTCCCACACATGAGATTTAAGTGATGCTGGAGGTTTCTCGAGCTCCTCTGCCCCACCACTTGGACCGGTACCGCTGGCCATGACTGTCGCTTTACAGACTGACCATGCGCACCATACAGCGGAACTTTTTTGTTTTTCGAATCTTCGGATCACGTGCGTGCTGAACCGTGGAGAGGGATCGGTGTGGATCATGGATCAACAATGATCCGTTGCACCACTAGTAATTATTAAAATCATGCATTTTGCCACCAAACTAAATATATGCTTATCAATGAAATGTAGTGCTGTCTGACTAAATGTACATTATTATTGTTATAAAACATGTCAGTGAAACCATTATCAAGTACACAGTTATAATCAATAAAACATGACAAACAATTTTAAAATAAATAAAAACACCCATTTTATTGATGTAAACACTTACTGCCACCGTACGGGTGAACTTGGGAGGAAAAAATACCATGAAATACTATAAAATGTTTTAGTCGTACTGGCCAACACTTCCTGGATGCCTGACTTGGGTCATTGTCTTGCTGCAGGATGAACCCCTGACCAGCTTCACACAGACCAGAGGGTATTGCAAGGTGTGGCACAATGCTGCCGTGACCCTGTTTGTTCAGAATGCCCGTCACTCTGTGTAAATCACCAACTCTGCCTCCAGTGAAGAGCCCCAGACCATCACACTTCCTCCTCCGTGTTTGATGTTAGTTTCACACACTGAGGAACCATACAAACACCCTGTGAGATGAGTCAAAGATTTCAAATTTGATTAATCAACTTTCTTACTGTCTTCAGTAGTCCACTGGCAGTGGTTCACGGTCCACGCAAGCCTTTTTCCTCATTAACAACGGCTTTCTGTCACTTGACCTGTCAAACCTGCATTTTGAAGTCTTCTCTCCACAGCTGAAAGTGGGACTGGCTTACTTTGATCACTGTTAAGCTGTGGTTGAAGCTGTAGTCCTGTGAGGCATCTACCACGCAAGCTGGTGACTCAGAAACTTGTCTTCTGATCGTGTTGTGACTTTGGCTCTGCCAGATCTCTTCCTATCCGAAAATTCTCCAGTTACCATTGTCATCAGACGCTTGGATTTTCTTTGCAGTTTCTAAATGAAAGCCCTACATATGTTGTTCTGTCTCATTTTATTTAATTGCCATTATCAGAATATACTGCTTCCTGCAGTGTGGTATAGTTCAAGCAAAACTTCAGAATTTGTAGTAACAGTCTTACAGAAATTCCATAATACTTGACAGAAGGTTTCTAAGCTCTCAACAGAAGTTGGGACATCTGGGCAAATCGTTTGATTCAATTTCCAAACTTGCAAGGCTTAATTTACCGTAATAACTGGAGAAACTGATCTAAAATGTGTACAATAGTATTTCATCCAAAACATCTGGGGAAAATGCATAAAAACCTGCACGCAACAGGGGCACCCTCCGGACATCGCACCGCGCCACACGTGTGCCCACATCAGCCTCGCATCACTTAGGCATGGAGTACGCAAGGGACTTGATCACACACCACATTCATTCTCCATTCTGACTCCCAACTCCTCGAACACCTGTGTTGAGTTAAGATATATCCCCTTGCCTGTTCTCCTGTGCATTTACGATTGTCTCTCTGCTTCAACCTTTAAAACCCCATAAATTTACTGTGGATTTAACAGGTGAAAATAGTTATGAATCCACCTTTTTACCTGGATTTGTCTGTTCAGTCTATCCCTAATATTTGTACAGTTACATGCATGTGTCATTATAGCACTTTTTTTTTTTAAGCCCCCTAAAATTTATAAAGGTTCAAAACAGCTACAAAATTGTGCATTCTCATATGAACCTTTCCCCCATCGATGTCTTAACCCTAGTTCTGGTGGTATTTGGTTCATTTTCTGCAATTTGTCATTTGTTAGGCTCTTCACCCTCGTGTGTGTGTGTGTGTGTGTGTGTGTGTGTGTGTGCGCGCGCATAGAATATAGACACACAGACACACAATTTTTTTTTGTGAAGTTTGGGTGGCCAGTAGTTGCATCAGATCAGTTCACTGTCTGATTGCAGATGTCTGCTGCGTTACAAGCACCCTGACTGGGAGACGAGTTCTGCTTCTGCTTCAGACGACCAACTTATGGTTTGCATACGACTTCACACAGTGAGAGAGTGTGTGTGTGTGTGTTTTCTTTTAATAAAAAAAAAACTTAATTTCTTGCTTTCGTCTGGAAATGTCTATTGCAGTTTCTTAGGTTCTGGACAGTAGTAACTGCAGCTTCCATGTATTATGAAGTAATTTTTTCTACTTTTGTGCCTGTTTGTAATTGGGTGAAATCATCTGGCCTGTACTGTCAGTGTGACAATTAAGTGATGAGTGAATTGACTTTATAGAGTAATCGCATCTCCTAAAACCAGGGCAAGGTTTAATCAGCGGGGAGACAAGTGAAGAGTCGTCATGGTGTGTTTAGGATTGGTCTTAATGGATACTTTGGTCAGCTCTTAGATGAGAACAGGACAAATCTCTTCACAAGTGAATACAGGCAGTTTATCATGGGGGGGGGGGGAATGTTTCCATCTTTAGTTCTGTCCAGTCATTAATACATAATTTTTTGAAGGTATTACTAAACCAGCAAAAGCATATGTGAATAGCCTTTGGAAGGCGATCTCATTATCTGTAAGACCTACAGATAGGCTGAAGTGCTGCAGTGAAAAGCTGAACTGCCGTCACACAAATGAGCTCCTCCTCCACATTCATACAGTGCAGGACTCATGGTCCCCAGTGTCCTTCAGAGCTGTGGGTGTGACTGCTTTGTGTTACAGCAGTCAGTCGCTCCACCTGGGCCTGAACTTCAGACCTGAGTTGGGGACACTGTGGAAATCACCCAACGGCTGATTTCCCTGTTTGATGTCTCCCCTAAACATTTCTGTTCCTAAAACATGCCAGTTGCCCTATTCTCTTCAATGGGTTCTGTGTGGTATGTTGCCTGCAGTACCTGTTTGTACAGAGTTATTTTTGTATCAGTGGAAACTGTTAGATACACGCTTTTGATGTTGGGTGATCTAGCTGCCGGGGAATTGTGTCAAAGTAAGTGAGCAGAATGAATACATGCATAGATATACTGCAATCTTTATACATTTTCATGTCAGTTTTGTGACTTGTCGGCCTCATGCCACTTTTATACTGAGACCTTCACAGTTCCAGATCTAGAACCATAGAACCCATTCTCCCGCTCTGATAGACAGAACATGTCTCGAAAGATAGAAAGAGGCCGACCTTTTTAATGACTGCATCAGAATCTTTAGATCCATCTTAGATATACTTTTAAAAATGGCTTAATAGCTTAAGATAAACATGGTTAGGAAATGCATGTATATTTTAGAGGTGGTTTTATTTGGTTTTGTCATAGTAATGAAAATGTATTAAATGTATATGAATGACCTCCTAGCATATCTGAGGGGAAAAAAACCTTTTGATAACCCTGAAAGCTCAAACTGAATGCTTAGAAGCTAAAATGATTAAAAAGAGTAATATTGTTAGGGGTACAGTAATATGATGATTTGAGTTGGTTTGATCTGTGATGGACTAATCGTATTTAGCCATTGTCTTTTGGTCTCAAATTGCAAAGGAATCATTTATAAAACCATCTTCATACAACTGTTAGTGTGCCAAAGGGCGACCGTCCTGGTCCGTGCTTTAAGCATGATTAAAAAAAAAAAGCTGAAAATCGCTATTGCTGTTGAGTTAATGAAATGATATTTGATATGATGATGATGGAGAATAGCATGAAATAATAAAAGGTTAAGGCTCTCACACTCTCCCCCTGCAGTTTTTATGTTGGTGATGCTTCACATTGTAAATGTGTGACTCTTACCAGACAGGTGACCCGAATCTCAGTGGCACATGAAGCCTTCGCTGTCAGCCGGGGCACCAGAGGCCTGTCATTGTCACCATTTTCCAGAAACTTAATAAAGTCAGCAGTAGGTGTTGTAGTTAGTGTGGTAGATAATTAAAAATAATGTATATTATGCACATCTGCTCATCCCCATCTGCATGCTTACCTTATACAATCTACAAAGATATTAATGTGGTTATTGATTTTAGTGGATTATTTTTGCTATTATTTACATATGCAACTTTTCCTAAATTTTTCAACAACACAATGCTTGTAAGAATTTATATATCTGCATGCGAGGGGGTGTTTTTCATGGTTGCCCTGTTTAGAATAGTGTCTGTGTAATATTTTGTGATCTTGCTTCTGATTGCCCCCCTCGCTGATAATGTGGGTTACTGATCTGCTGTGGAAATGTCAGACGGGGCAGCTTTGAAGCACCTTTGGAATTTTTGAAATGGTTTTGTCTTTGTGGTGTGATATTTAGAGAATGCTTTGCACTGTAGTTAAAAATTGATACAATTTATCTATTAAAATGCAATATGGGGACATCGTCAGCGGTGTGACTGGGAAATGGGTGCAAGTAAATTGTTGGGTATAAGTAAAATTGAAATGTTGGTACTGAAAATCATGCCCCCCCACCTTGTTTGGGAAAATTTAATTGATCTTGTACTTTTTTTTTTAGAATTTATGTTTTGAACTGGCCGCTGGCTCCCGCTGGGATTTGGTTGGAGTTTAAGCATTTAAAGCTTCAATAAGCTATGGTATCCCCCCCCCCCCCAAATGAAAGCATTTTAGAATGTCGTTTCAGGCCATCTGCCTTCATGTGTTATTTATTTGAACGCGTCCTCCAGTGCATCGCTCACACGCCGCTGAGGTCGAAGTGGGTTTCATTTCCTGTGTACCCCTACTGTCCTGAGCTCTGTACCCAAACAAGAAAAGTGACAAAGTATGTGGGAGGTGACGTGTGGGATGTCACGTCAGGTTAATCACCCCTGCAGGTCAGGGCGCAGCCAGTGCTGCTCGCCCCACGTAGCAATTACAGGGAAGCGGCTTTCCCAGGCTTGACGCTCGGCACAGCTCATGCTCAAGAAGTTCATCTAGGCATCAGCATGAGAAGCATTTCAAAGCGGCCCGGTCAGTTAAAATAGGTTTGGCAGCTGGCTAATTTGGCATCGTGCAATAATTGCGGTTGTTCATTTCACAAATTGCATCATTTGCAAATCTTTCGCCCATTAATATATTTTGTCTCATCTGTAACAGGATTTGTATGCAGGTGCCTTTGGTCTAACCCTCTACTTTGGCAAATGACTGATTATGATATTATGATCTGCATTAGTGGAAATAGATGTTTCCATCCTCTAGTCACAAGATGCTACTTTGAGATTTACTGATGTTAAAGAAAATTTTGGTGGGTTAAAAAAATGTCTGCTTGGTTATAGTATTTAATGGTTTATCAACACTTATAATTCAGGGTCAGTGCTGAAATAAGCCTTATGGCATTTTTCTACGTGCACTCCAGTCCAGCATTATGATCTCCATTTCTTTATTGCTCACTCTCTCGTATGTTCTTACTTTTCAGGAACCGATAAAGTCCAGGGCTCCTCAGCTACATTTGGAATATCGATTTTATAAACAGCTGGGAAATTCAGGTAAGAAAAAAGCTGCCTGAGCTTGGGTTAATGTTTGATCCTGCAGGAAAGGTTACGGAGGCCTCATTTCTGTCCTTGTTTTCATAATGCAGTGTCCCGCCATCTTGTTCCTGTATCACTGGGAGGTGGGATGAGGTCATATTTGTTACTGTTAACATGAGCCAGCTTGCTGACTTACCTCTGAATAGTCGGGCTTGTTGTGCGTTCTGACACCTTCTCTTCCATTCCTCAGAACATGGGGTCCTAAATTACCTGTCCCTCCCCGACCCCGTGCCTCTGCAGCCATCCCACGGAATGAATTACACTCTTGCTTGTGCGGGAGTGAGGGCTCCCCTCAGCTTAAAAATAGCCTTTCTCCGTGTCTCCCTGTCACTGCTGAATCTCCTTGGATGTGTCCTCCACAGTTCTGAGGACATTCCAGTGTGGAATGAGCAGTCCACTCTTTTAGAGCCCACAGAGATGTTTGCGTCTCTGCTTGGATGGATTTGTCTTATTGTCATGTTAGTGTCTGTTAACTTATTTGCCTTTTCCAGGACTTATTTAGTTTGTTGATATCAGACTGCTCGTAAGTGTGCTCTGGGCAGTTAAATTCTGAATCTGCTTGTGGTTACATGCTTGTTATGCATTGATAGGGGAAGAATCGAACTCTGCTTTGAATATACACATAATCACTGTACACCGGTAATGTCCAGTTAGTGTTTATCATGATTGAATTATTTGTACTTATGTTGGAAATGCTGTAATTTGGGTTTGCTGCCAATTTGACTTTTGTATAATGCAGCTTTTGTTTTTATAGATATGGTAGGTTAAATGTTAAAGTTTTAATGTTAATGTGCTGCTATCATGAGGCGTCCAGCAGTCAAGGCCTCAACTCCTGCCTCTGGGTAACAAGCCTTAATTTAAGGTGTTTCACAGTTTGTTGATTTTAACTACACTGTAAGCCTGATACATGGCAGCTGTGCTTGGCCGTCACGATTCCCTGAACGCTTCCATACAGTGTTGGATGCCGCCGATCTTTTATTTACCGGCGATCACATTTCACGCTGGCTCTGCTTCAGGATGCCTGGCTCATTCTGTCAGGGTACCGTTCTGTGCTCGAACGCACCCTGAATTGTAAATTTTATCCCAGCCTTTTTGCAATTAATGTAAAACTTCACTTTCGGCCCTGTAACAGCGCAGTGTCATTCCAGAACGCTTCTCAGGTCTCTCACACTTGGTGCATGCAGGATTTAGGTTTAAGGAATGTGTCTGTCTCCCAGTAGCCGTGAATCTTTAAGTCTGGGCATGCACTGTTTCTGGGCGCTGTGCTTTAATTTGCACCTCTGACTGCAGGTAAGGTGACCTACTGCAGGGTTTACTTAAGCATTGTCAATTTTGCTGAGGGTGAGTGAAAATTAGCACGGCGTGCGGCCCTGAAGGACCAATGCTGGGACCTTCTGGCTTAAAGGAACGGACTGCTTGTCTCTGAGAAATGAGCTCCACTCGTGCACAGCTTTGTGGCCATGTGATAAAAGTTAATAGTTTTTTTTTTCTTCCAGTGTTTGCAGTAACTGCTCCTATTTTGTACTTCAGTGAATTAGCCTCCTGCTGGTGTGTCTCTTTATATCATTAACACGTAACCATCATAATTACTCATCACATTTGAAAGCCTGTGGGGCAGAGATGTTGGTCTATACCTTCCAGGTGGCACTTGGGGACTTGCGTGAGAGTGACAGTGCTCTAGAAATGTGTAAATCCCACTGTAATCCCTCTCATGATGATGCAGGGCTCTCCTTGGCACCTTGCCCATGATGTGGCACCTTGCCCATGATGTGGCATTGCTGCTGGTTTTGTGCAGCCCTTGCATTCGCATAATCCCTAAGAGCAATTTGTATCGTAGGTCCACTGTGCTGCACAAAATGAAATGGTCAGGTAAATAGGTAGCTCTTTCTGTGGTGGTATATTAACTTGTGAGCATTGCCTATTCTAGCAGGCTCTCTTGGAAAGACGGTCGATTCATGACTGCACAGATGAGGTCACTTCCCCCCCCCCGATCCTAACAAAGTGTGTCAGATATGAGTGAGGTCACTTCTGCCTGGAACAGCTGTGTGCAGCCCAGCAGAGCTGATTGATGTGGACCCTCTGGCAGTAAAAGCTGATGATGTTCTCTGGGTCACAGGGGCCGTACGTCGTCTCTTAAATCGGCAAGTTGATCCAGGTGACCTTGGACATGAAGGCCTGCTTGCTGCCGTTTTGTGGTTTTAATATTGCATATTGATGTATGTTTCGCTCGCCCACCAGAGGGCATCCCTCAGGTGTACTACTTTGGCCCATGTGGGAAGTACAACGCTATGGTTTTGGAATTGCTGGGGCCCAGCTTGGAGGACCTATTTGACCTATGCGATCGCACGTTCACCCTCAAGACGGTCCTCATGATAGCCATACAGCTGGTAAGTCATTTGCACTCCTAGGGTACTGAAACACAGGGCAACTTTTTGAGCAAAGTTGCTGACCGGTGTTGCTGACCGGTGTTGCTGACCGGTGTTGCTGACCGGTGTTGCTTGGTCACATTCCCATTGATAATGGGTAACACATTTCTATTTGGAAGAACTCTGATCGGCAGTGGGCAACTTTTGTTGATCCTCCAGATCCAAATTAGTTGCCCTCTGTCTAACCTGGTTGGCAGTTGCCCGGTAACATTACTCAAAAAGTTGTCCTGCGTTTCATGACCTTTCCAGTTGCCCAAGAGATGAATGATTTACATACAATTTGCTGTTGAAAATGTGTGTTGAAAGGCTTCACTCTCAAACCTGTCTGTTTCCTAGATAACACGGATGGAGTATGTTCACTCCAAGAGCTTGATATACCGGGATGTCAAACCTGAGAACTTTCTGGTTGGGCGGCCGGGCGGCAAGAGGCAACACACAATCCACATCATAGACTTTGGGCTGGCCAAAGAATACATTGACCCTGAGACCAAAAAACACATCCCTTACCGGGAGCACAAGAGCCTGACAGGCACAGCGCGATACATGAGCATCAACACGCATCTTGGCAAAGGTGAGAACGGTGGTTTCTGTTCTGGACATATCCTATACAGTGGTACCTTAGAACTCGAATTTAATCCGTTCAGAACTCCGGGTCGAATCCTAAAAAGTTTGAGTTGTGATCGAATTTTCCCCATAAGAAATAATGGAAAACCAATTAATTGGTTCCCGGTCCCAAAAAATTATACCTAAATATTTTTTTTTTTTTAGCATCTAAACACAAAATGAACCGGATAAAACAAGAAGAGCATATACTGTACTAAACACATCTAAGCACATTTATCAAAACAGTAATTTGTAAAGTAAGAAAATAAATGTATCCAAACAATGTGTCCTGCCCCGATCGTCCACTCCTTCCGTGTGCTACGCCCCCTCGTTAACCCCGTGTGGAATCCCGGTGTGGTCAGCTGTTTCGGGTTGTTGTCATTAGTCCTCTGTATTTAGTCCGCGTTTCAGTTTCCTCAGTCCGGTCATTGTATTGTCCGTCTGCGTTTTTCCTGCCTTACCTGTAATTAAACCCTGTATTCCCTGATACCCTGACGTCTGCGCCTTTGTCTCCGTTCCGTCCCGCTCAGCACAACAATATTATTATAATGTATTAATGGTTTATTATTAATATTAAAATAATGAATAAGAAATCTTTATTTTTAAATGTATTTTATTATATTATAATAATTACTATTACTGTCTATCATTGTTTAAATGTATTTTTACTGTCTAAATATATGTATTCAGCTTGTGTAAACATGCTATCACAGCTAATGCGAGGCTGAGACTGAAGCTTTACCCTTTGTTTCCGCTGAGAGACGTGCCGCGTGACTCATTTCCCTGCGCGTACAAGTTATTTTAGGTCGGCGTTCACGGTTTGACTTCTGAGATTCAGATCGAGCTCTAGGTAATTTTTTTTCAAACTGGTTGGTTCAGCTTTTAAGAAATTCGAGTTTTGATGAGTTCGAGAACTGAGGTACCACTGTACATCTGTGTGATTTCTGTGGAGTACCTCCCCTGTAGGATTTAAAGAATAAATCCTGTATTTCAGTGTTTCCCAATTCAGTCCTTTGGGGACCTACCGACAGTTCATGTTTTTGCTCCATCCCATCTCCCTGTCATTCAGTCCACATTTTTGCACCATCTCTGCTACCTCCTGGGAGCTAAGAGGGTGCAAAAACATGGACCGGCCATGGGTCCCCTAGGACTGGATTGTGGAACAGTGCTGTATTTAATGCACTATTTTGCTTATGCATTTTTTAGTGTCTGCAGCATGATTTCTGTTAAAGTGCTTTTACTCCTAATGCAGAACAAAGCAGGAGGGATGACCTGGAAGCGCTTGGTCACATGTTCATGTACTTTCTCAGAGGCAGTCTTCCTTGGCAGGGCCTCAAGGTAAGGAGCTTAATGGTCACGTAGCTTTAATGATGGTTTCATTGATTTATGCTCTTGAAAACACGCATTACTGGGAAATGTGAAATGGCTGCTTTAAGTCGCGATGCTTGTGAGCTGATGTGGCAGGTAACACGTAGTAGGGCTTAGACCCTGAACGTCAGCAGTTGATGGCCCTGCTCCATTACCACTGAGCAAGGAATTTTTACCTAAATCACTCAGTATAAATGGGCAAAACCTAGGCTACTGAGGAGGGTGGAAAGTGTCAAGTAACTTATTACTGAATTAATGTTGACTGATTTCTCAAATTAAAATTCAGAATCTGTCTCAGTAGTTGTACCAGAGAAATTGCAAAAAAAAGCCTCTTTAGGGTTTCAGATTTTCCGTAATTTAACAGAATGCTTTGTAAGGCTGCTTGCTGTGTAGATGAAGAACAAGAGCACCTCCTTGTAGAAAAAGCATGCATTTAATGTTTCGGCCCTGTCAGTGCCCATAATGTAGATTCAGCTTTTTGGGCGCCGGCGAGCTGCACGCAGGAACCTGCTGGAGGGTTTTCACGTTCTGTGCTAAGATTTCAGCTCACAGCCGTGTGAATGTGGCGGGTCCATAGGCCGCTGCCGTGCGCTGCTGCCTGACCTCGTTTGTCAGCACTCTTCCCAGTGCCTGCTAACTGGTTCATATCTGGGAGGAATCTGCTTCTCTGTCTTTGCTTGGTGACAGCTGGAATAACGAAACACCCAAACTCCTTTATGGGAAGTGGCATGGGAAGTGGCATGGGAAGTGGTATCGGAAGAAAGGGCAGCTGGCGGCCAGTACGGATAGCATCTCTGCTAATTTCTGTAAAAGCATTTTGCGTGACTCAGCATGTAGGAGCAAACTCTAGATACGCCTCCGAAATTATCCCAGATCCCACATCATCTGATTCTGAAAAATGGACACCAGAGTAATGTCTTGTGGGTCTCTGCTAAATTGTCACCCCAGTAGACCTCCCCGCCTATGCCACTCAGGTCATACTCACCAGGGTGGAGCGCTGAAGTATATTTTGCACTCAAGCTCTCAAATTCTCACGTATCAGTTAATATCAGGTGTGAAGAAAACAGGTACAGGTTTTAGAATGAGCCTTGTGTGCCAAGATTTGCTGTACAGCTTGAAGCTGTCATTTGGCGTGATTCAGGTCCCATTTCCTCACCTTACAGAAGGCATCTTGAGGATGCTCCGCATTTTTCCTGCTTATTCTGACGTAGACCAAGGAGAGCTGTCCTTCCCCTCTTCTGGGCTGCAGCCATTCACCTGGCCCTCCTGTGTTGTATCACCCACAATCTCATGTTGTTTCCAAAAAAGACCCCATTCTCTAAACCAGGCCATGATGTTCACTGGACAGTCAGAGGTTCCCCTCCACCCTCCTACCTCGTCACCACTAGGTGCAGTCAGAACGTCTTTTACCTGCCCAGGAAAGGCATTAAATAAGTGGATGGTTGTGTGCCATCTGAGCATGCTGGGGCACCACCTCAGATCATTTGAAACACTGCAGGCCTCCATCTCTTCTTTCTTTATTGGGCAACGTTAAAATAAGTTGCATGTTAAAATTTTACTATAACCACATTGCACATTCCCTGAAGATATTAATTTGTCATGTGCAGCAAACTTCTCGAGCAATAAACACCCTAGTTTGATGAGCAGAAAGCTAGGGTGGAGCCCCCTTTGGTAATTAAAGACTGCTGCACATACATATAACTCAAGCAGAATATTCTCTTGTTGCAGTATTATTTGCATTGTAGACTGTCCCCGAAGTACGATTGGGTTACGCTCCGTCAGATGGTGTGAGACTGAGACTGGGAGATGCGTGTTAGGCCGTTGTATGGGTATGCCGCACAATTCGGGTGGGATTTAGGATTCGCTTTAAAATTCTGGTAGTTATATAGAGCACTAAATGGTCAAGCTCCAGTCTGTCTGGTCTCCTCCTCAAACATGCTGTTTCTTGTGCTTTTCAATCCTAGGATCATAATTTCTTAGTCGTTCCCCGCACATGATCAAAGACTAGGGGAGATGGAGCCTTTCAGTCTCCCGGGCTTTGGAATAATCTCCTGTTACATTTATGCTTGCCAGACTCTGTCGATTTTTAAGTAAAAAATTTTATTTAATCAGGCTTTTGGTTAGATTTTTATTATATAAACTATTATAATTGTGTTAGTTTATTTTAATACATGTCTTAATATTTCTTGTTTACTTCTTTTTATTTGATTTTGTTGTACAGCACTTTGACTACATGTCTGTGAAAGGCAGTTTATAAATAAACCTTACTTACCCACCTGGTAGTGTAACACAGCCTGGTGTATCGCCATCCAAACTGGAAGTGGAAAAATTTTGCTAAGAAACTCAATATAGTTTAAAGAAATTTGGACAAGAATCCACGCTGACAATTCCCAAGTAATTTCAAAAGCAAAAAGGAGTGAACTAGCATGTGCTATGCAGTTGTACACAAGTTCAAGAGCAAATTGTTATATTTGTTTAGTTTTAAGCTTGACGAAAAAGTATTAAGACTTGGTAGTTCTGTCGCGGCAGCACCTGCATGGGATGTGCACCGTTTATTGGCCTTGTGAACAGGAGACGCCTTTGACACAGTAGTTGTATTGATTGGCAGAGGACAGAGTTGGTACCATTTTCAACCCAAATTCCAAAGACCTCAAAAATGAGAATGAGATGAGAGTAATGCTTCTACTGATGTGATAAGAGAACAGTACATTAGTTTGCACTCTCCATGTTTCCTTTCATTGATGTTAGAATATAAATGGATTTTTTTCCAGTCTGTAAACCAGTAAGTTTTTTTCCACATCTGCTGGCAAAATTTAGTTTGCACTTTGATTCTTTAATTGCTTATAGTATTTCTTTTGGAATATCATCTTTCCTCAGGGCTGATCTCACCACCTCTTCCATTATTGAAGATTTTTCCATGTACTGACACCATAATGCTTGACGCATTTCCTGTAGCGCTCCTCTCTGCAGCCTCTCCATCTTCGCTTGATCTTTGTTCCATCAGTTATTTGTCCAGCGAATACTATCTTTGGAACTTTACTGATTTTTCTGAAAATTAGCCCCTTTTCCATGTTTCTTTATTTAGAAACTTGGTTGGTGTAAATATTGGCTTCAGGTTCTTTTCTGGAATCCATGATTCATTGCTTTTAAGAAGATTCTTCCTGTTTCTCCTGCAGTCTCCACTGTGCTTTCTGTCATCCACTTTGATTTTTTTGGCTCTTTTTCCCCATTCTTTTTCAGATTCCTCTTGGCTGATTTCTTTAAATTCCATCCAAAGTTCCTCTGGTTCTCAGGTCTAGCATCCCAAATCAGATTCCAGTGTTTTCATTGAAGGCATTGGGTTATTTCTTGGAATTTATATGGCCTTGTTCAGTTTTACTTGCAGTTTGTAGTTTGTGATCTGTTCTACATTGTCCTCCATGTCATGTGATGTCAGGCACTAACAATTAAGTTTTTCTTAAAGGGGGGGTCATTGGATAAAAAAGGTTGAGAACCACTGGTGTGGCCAACCCATCTATGTACTCTGTGGTGTTTATCGTGGTACACAATAGAAATATTTTTCAGTTCAATAGTATCTGACATTTGTTGGTGGTAAAATTTAGCTAACTGGTTAAAAAAGATCAATGAAGTTTTAGTTCAAGATCTAGTCACTAAGTTAAGATCGACTGAGACAGATAATTGGCAAAGTGAGATATACAGGCCGTGCTGAGATGCTATGCTGGCTGAAGCTGCTTTGTTTTGCATTGGTCTGTCTTTGTGGTTGTATGGTTGCGGCCTCTGATCATGCAGGCATTGCGCAATAGGCGCTTGCTGGTTTGTTCTATCCATCATAATAGTGTTAAGAAATACTCTTGTAACTGGGCATTCAGAAGCTCAACTGAGCTGCATCTATGCCTAATCGACTCCACAACGGCATGTTTGTCTGTAATGACTAATTGCCTTACTTGTGCGTTGCTTTGGACAAAAGCGACTGCTAAATTAAATGCAGTGCTGTATTGCGATTCTTGCAATAACTTTGAAATGTGT